AAAATTATGTAAAAAAATAAAAATTATATTATTTTAAAAAATTATCATGAAAACAAGATTAAAATAACCTTATTCTTACTTATAAATTAGAATGTTTTAGTTTTTTTTTAAATTTATTAAAAAAATATAATTTTATGAAATATATTTTTTCTTAATTTTTTACAACTAATAAATATTTTTTTTTAAAAAAAAAAAGATATTTCGAGTCTCACTAGGGTAAAAATAATTCATCATTAACAAAAAGTTGTGTGAGAAAGCTGTACGATAAAATTATATCTTAATCATTCTACTTTCCTAATTATACACCTCCCAAAACGAATGGTCCCACCCTTCTTCAGTTGTGCCTAAGACCCCTCCAAAGCAGTCGCTAATGCAAATGCATCATAATCTACAAAACTGCACTCATGTTCATCTTTGCATCCTTACCCATCTCGATTTTTCAACTTCTTCCTCTGCTCCAGCTCCGCCATGGCTGGAGCTCCAACTTTCATTGCTACTTCCAAGGAAGGAGGCTTAACACCTTCAAGAACACGGTCGTTCATCGGGACCATCGTAACCCATTTCTCCATCTCCATGTTTTCTGACTCAAAAACAGCTTTCCATGGCACTTCCGCCCTGCCCAAAATCCTTGACTTTCCCATTTTCCCGATCACGGGCACCGCGCCTCTCCACCGGAGCTCGAAAACAACACTCTGTTGCTTTAGGTCATTGAGAGATTCTTCCGTTCCAAAGCACTCCAAGCAGAAGGTCTCGTTCCAAAAATGGTCAGATTTTGAGGAGATTTCCCTGGTATTCAGCTCAACTCTCTTGTTTCTCCCTGCAGAGAGATAATATCTCACAAAAAGCCTGCCTGTGGAGTTGAATTCTAAGTTTTTGGCTTGTATAATTCTTACTTCACAAGAAAAGGAGGAAAGAAAATTTGAAGCACCCATTTGAGAGCAACAGAGGAACTCGGTCTGGTGAAGAGTTGTTTGGGATGATGAGGTTTGTAACTCTTTATGTTATATATATAGGTGTATGGAGATATAGTGGAAGGAAGGTGGCATGTGCTTTTGGGAGGCTGCTGGTCTTATCTCATACAGGTATAGTGGAACTCGGAAGGAAGCATGTTAGGCACCAAAGATTTAGTTGTGATATTATCTAAGTTTGCCCTTTAATACGTTGGATTGGAATAAGATTGTGCTGAAGATTCACTTGATTATAATACGTCCTTTCGAATCCAAGAAGAGCTGGATTTTGATATCTAAATCTGACCCTTACTGCAACATGGTATTGGTTTATTTGTAGTGGCTTGAGTGCTTTTAGGGGTAATATCCTTCATCTTAATATATAGGTATTTAATATGAGTGAAAAGGTACCTAGGCAGGGATAAAAATGGGAAATTTATCGGCCAATTACGTTGCAACTTGCAAGTGAGATATATCTTGTATTGTGCACACTCCATCCATTGCCCCAAACAAAAAAAATAACAATAAAAATGTCCATTATCCCAAACGCATACTTAATTGTAGCCCTAAACTAAACGACTTGTGATGAATTGTTCTCCTATAATGTTGTAAAATATATTCGACGTGAAAAATTAAGGGTAAATATCTATTATGTTATTCAAAATTATTATTTAAAAAAAAAAAAAACAAAACAACCATGATTGGCTCTTTTTATTTTAGGTAATGTAAATCAATATATATATTTGTTTGATATCATATAGTTATTTATTGTAGAACTTGATTATATATATAAACGCAAAAAATGCATACCATATAAAACCTACAAGAATTTGACAAAGTCACGTTGTGTAAAAAGATTAGAAAATGATGTGTGCACATTCGAGTGTGCACACCTCCACATAAAAAAAAAAAAATCCAACCAGGTGTTCTCATTTTTTTTTTTTTTATGTGGAGGGGTGCACACCCGGGTGTTGGATCCGGGTGTGCACCAATCATGGTCCAAAAAGATTATAAAAAACAATGTAGTTGAATTATTATTGAGAATTAACTTTAAAAAAAAAAAAGACAATTCTCTTTCAGATAAGAAGAATCACTTAGCCATTCAAATTTTTCAATGCTTGGTTACATACCCCGGGGTTCACAGACATGGTTACAGCAAAATGGAAGGAGATAGAAATTCAAGGCTGGGGAGGATTCATTTTAAAGGAGAAGCTGAAGAAGACAAAGGACTTTCTTCGAGTGTGGTCAAAGTCCAATATACAAGAAGTGGACAGAAAAATTGAGCAATCCAGGGAGGAGATAAACAGAGTTGATGGCAAAGGAGAAACAAGCATTCTGTCAAATGAAGATATTATTTTCAAGAGCTCTCACTACTCTGAGTTGTTAAAGAACATGCAGATGAAAGAAGAGATGGCTCAACAAAAAGCTCGGAAAACTTGGCTGAAATCAGGAGATGCTAACACCAGTTTTTTCCACAAATGCATCAGAGGGAGATGGCGTAGAAACGAAATAAATGTAATTTCGGTAGAAGGCAAAGAGCTGAGACAAGTCGAAGACATAAAGCAGGGTGTTATGAAATACTATGCAAACTTATTCACTGATGAGGGATGGCAAAGACCGACTTTAGAGGGGCTAAGCTTCCAATCTATCTCAGAGGAAGACAGAAGCATGCTCATTGAACCTTTTACAGAAGAAGAGGTAAAAGCTGCGGTATGGAACTGTGACAGCACCAAAGCACCGGGACCGGATGGTTTTACTTTTGGCTTTATAAAAAATGAATGGGAGGTGATTAAAGCAGATATCATGGTCTACCTCAAGGATTTTCACACAAATGGAAGGATGGTAAGGGGTTCTAATGCTTCTTTCCTGGTGTTGATACCGAAGAAAGAGAATCCTCAAGGCATTGAAGAGTATAGACCCATTTCCTTAATCGACTGCATGTATAAGATTCTAGCCAAAGTGTTAGCAGACAGACTCAGCAGAGTATTATACACAATTATAGGGGAGAATCAATCTGCTTTCATCGAAGGAAGACAACTGGTTGACAGTGTTGTTGTGGCAAATGAGGCAATTGATGAGGTGAGGAAGAGAAAATCCCAGTGTTTTGTATTCAAGATTGACTTCGAAAAGGCATATGATAAGGTGAGCTGGTCTTTTTTGGACTACATGATGGAGAAAATGGGCTTCGACAAAGTATGGCGGGAGTGGATTGCTGAATGTTTAAGATCGAATACTATGTCCGTGTTAGTTAATGGAAGTGCTACCAAAGAGTTTTCGATGTCAAGAGGGCTTCGACAAGGAGACCCACTATCTCCATTTTTGTTCTTAATGGTGGCAGAAGCTCTAAACGGACTAACGTCGGCAGTAGTAGAAAAGGGTTATTTCTGTGGAGTAAAAATAGGAGACGGGGAGCTAGAGATCAGCCATCTACAATTCGCAGATGACACAATCTTTATGGGAGAGGCAACCGAAGACAACATATGGATGATTAAATGCATCATGAGGGCATTTGAATTGGTGTCAGGCCTGAAGGTAAACTACAGAAAAAGCTCTCTAATTGGAGTCAATACTGATGAAGAATGGACGAGAAAAATGTCATGGTTGCTGAATTGTAAAACTGCCGCCCTTCCCTGTAAATACCCAGGCATGCCATTGGGAGCAAATCCAAGGAGAATAGATACTTGGAAACCCTTAATCGAAACCTTCAGAAGAAAACTCTCAGTTTGGAAGGGAAAATTCTTGTCTCTTGGCGGAAGAATCACCCTCATAAACTCTGTGTTGTCCAGCCTGCCAGTGTTCCTAATGTCATTACACCTTCTCCCAAAACAGGTAACTCGCGAGCTTGATAAAATTAGGAGAAATTTCTTATGGGGCGGAGTTGGGGAAGGTAGAAAGATAGCTTGGGTAGCATGGGAGAGGGTCTGTTGCGAAAAAAAAGAGGGAGGGTTAGGGGTGAAAAATCTTAGATGGTTCAATATGGCATTGCTCGGGAAATGGTGGGGGAGATTAATAGGGGGAGATAAGGGGTTGTGGTCGAGGGTGCTGTTAGAAAAATATGGTGGCAAAGGAGGAAATTGGTTATCATGGATGAAAGAGGGTAGGGGAATAGGATCGCCATGGTGGAATGATATTTGCAAAGTGAATAGAGGATTAGGTAATAAGGTTGGGTGGTTGCTCTCTAATTTCATCTTAAAATTAGGGGACGGGAAGAGTGTCAGGTTCTGGCTAGATGTTTGGGTGGGGGAGGATCCTTTAGCTAATGTTTTTCCAAGACTGTTTTTGTTGGACACAGACAAAAACTGCAGCATATATGATCAAGGCTATTGGTCTGATGGAAGCTGGTGCTGGAGATTCCAATGGAGAAGATCAACTAGAGCATGGGAGGAGGAAAAACTACAACAGTTGATTGGGACTATAAATCACATAAAACCAGTGCAGAACGTGAAAGACACTTAGAGATGGAGGCCTGACAATGAAGGAAAATACACCACAAGATCAGCTTACGAGCAGTTGGCAAAGAAAGAGGAAAGTCCACTGTTGGAGTACAAAAATATATGGAGTGCGCAAGTCCCCTCAAAAGTGGCTGCTTTTTCATGGCAAATGCTTCTTGACAGAATTCCCACAAAGGCCAACTTGGCAAAGCGGGGCATTGTGGATGACAACCAAGGTACAAATTGTTTTTGGTGTGATCAGTGCCCTGAAAATATAGATCATCTTTTTGTGTCATGCAATATCTCATTTAAATTATGGTCTAAATGTCTAAATTGGTGGGGATTATGTTATGTTCTTGGGAATACTTGTCTTGATGTTTACAACCAGCACAGTTGGCATAAGGGCTCAAAAATAATGAAAAAAGGCTGGAATATGTTATGGTTCACAATAGCATGGTCATTGTGGTTGAGTAGAAATGAAACAGCCTTTCAACACAAGAAGGTAAACGAGGACGCGCTATTTGAGCTTGTACAAACCCGATCATTCCATTGGGTTAGAACTATGTTGAAATTAGAAAATTTTTCCCTCATAGAATGGTTTACCAACCCAGTGAGTTGCTTGACAAATAGGAAGTAGAGAGTAGATGGGGAGTTGAGCTCCAGGTTCCCTATATTGGGAATACCTTGGAAATTTGTTTGTTTGACACACTTCCAGGATGTAATTTGTTTACTGATGTCAATGGGTTTGAGTACCCCTTGTACTCGCTTAATAAAATTCTTTTTGCTTTTCAAAAAAAAAAAAAAAAAGCCATGACCCTTTTTCCTTTTTAAGTTTCTTTTTATCACTTTAAAAAGGCAGATTTAAGGCTGGAAGCAGAATGCAAGTTGTGAGAAGATCCGATTCGGTTTGGTATATATATTAAGAACACAGGTTGGTGCTGTTTAAAAAAGAACACAAGTTGGAACTTACCCCTTTAACAACATTCGATTTAAAATTGTGAGGATAACCACTAGACCTAATGATTTAAAATTGTGATCAAAAGTCTCTGCCCTCTCTTTAACCAGCTTTGCTACAAGTTATGAATCAGCAAAATGAATGAAAAAAAAAAACCTTAATTCTCGGAAAAAAGAAAGCTTAATAATTATAGATTCAGAGAGCTGAAGGTTTGGTCTTAAAAATTGCATAGAATCTTTATTTTCTTAATTTTTACATGCCTTAGGGCTTTTTTTTTCTTTTTTTTTTTTTTTTGTTTTGCCTTCATCCCTTAGGTTATGTTTGGTTTGGAGAGTAATGACTGTTTACTAGTCAAATTATAAAAAAAGAAGCAAAATTAAAGAACTTTTCTTCATAAAAAACTAGGAACACACTTATTTATTGTTTGATAATTTCTTTTAAATAAAGGCAAGAAATGCAATTAATTAAGTGGAAGTGATAATAAAATTTTTCCTTAATCACCCAAATATGTAAATATAAAATTACCAATATTAAAAACAAGTATTCATAATTTCTTTTTTTTTTTCACTAATTTAAACATTTGATAGTTTATATTATATAATTCAATGTAATCACAGTACTTTTTTGCAAAATAAATTTCAAAAAAGAAAAAAAGAGGAAAAACTTGTGTACTTGGTATGTCTAATTTGATTAAAAAATGTTCATTTTATGGGGTTCAAACTTACCGTAATTCTAAACAATTATATTTTTCTATATACAAAAAAAGTTCATTTTATAACTTTAAAACAAGTCTTTTTTTTGAACATCATAAGATTTAAGTATTCAGAAGATTCCATCCGATTCTGTTTAGTGCTTTGAGAAGCTTTAACAAGATCCGGACGAATTTCCTCTTGACTAGATATGTAACTCTAACCGGCGGTTGTGTTGTGTGCATGTAGTGCTGTGCTGAATACAATTTTGTGTTGTGCTATTGTTAAACATTATGTTAGTATTTTATAATTTCGTTAAACAGTGTTACACGTATATAGCAGTAGTTAATTACTAAAATTGTATAAAATATTAATTAACTAAATTTAATTATAACATTACTCTAACATTTTTTCAATAGTGCATGGTTATTAAAAAAAAAAAGTATTGTAAAAGCAGTCGTAACTGCATCATATTAGGAGTAATATTACCCTTTGGAGATACTCAAGGGAAGGGATATATTAATAGGTAATCTTATTTTATAGTTTGAATTATATCGAACTACAAAACATGAATTATTGGATGAGAGAAAGGTCTAATCCATCTCCAATAGTCAGTGTTGTACAATATAATATAATATAAATTGTAGAACATTTTTTTCATATTAATATCATAGTTAGAGACAGAACCAGAAATTCAAGTTAAGGGGTAAAAAGTTAAAACCTGTTGTGTTATTTATTAATTCACATTAATATCATTTATATTAATTTCTATAATTTCTATATCGGTCCCTAATTTTGTCTATGTACCACTTATGTTATATATGCAAAACTTTAAATTAATTAGATATATTTAGTTTTATCAAGGAAATTTGATATATTTAACTATTTTTGAATGATAAATAATTTAAAAACCATAAATAAATACTAAATAGTATAAAAACATAACTTTTTTTTAATGGTTACATACCTATATCAAAATAATTTTATATTTAAAATATATGATTTATATGAATAGAATAAATTTAATTATTATTTTCATAAAATATATAAATTGTATAAAAAAATTATATATAACTAATATAAAAACTTATATAAATTATATCTAAGTAATTAGTTAGATCTTGGCTTTTTTTAATATTTTTCTTACCTAGACCAAATTATTAGATCTTAAAAATTAATCACAAAGAGAGAAATGATTCCTTTGCCTAAATCCTAAATATTTTCTTTATATTTGAAATGGTCCCAATAATTCAAAAACTTGAAAAATAAAATTTTGTAAAAAATAAAGATTAATATACCATATTTGAAATTTTTCAAAAGCTTGGGGGGGCGGCTGCCCCCCTTTCCTACATTGGCTACTTCCCTCGTCATGGTATCCCACTTATTATCATTAGTATTCCTTTTAAAAAAAAAAAAAAAGAAGAAGAAAATAAAGTGCAAATTATTCTATACAGGTGATATTTCACTTAATTATTAATATAGAGAGCAAGTATCTTGATATCATATATTATCTTTTTATTAATAATTAAAAATAGTGCATTTCATGCAGGACGGACTGCACTACAACACAATCTCCCTTTCTTTTTCTTTTCTTTTTTTCTTCTATCAGCATATTTTCCCCTTTTTTAACCTTGTTCTCTGGAACAATACTAGTTTTATGAGAGAAATTGTGGTTAACAGGCTGGCGAAGAAAATGAACTGTCAGTGCTTATCTTATATAACCATCATTTCATTATAGTTACAGATAAGATGATACACGTGGATACTTTAACTTTCTTATCATGCCTCACACTGTTTAATTAAATAAGTAGGCAATTTGTTACTTTTATACATGTGCCTACCTATTGAAAATATGAAACCCCTCACTTTAACTCAAAATCAATTTTTTAAAAATAGTCAGTATTATCTTCACTAGACTCTAGTTGTTAGCTAGCAATAAAAGATCATAAGCTGGATCTAAATCTTGATTTTTAAATTGGATGCTCTTTTTATTTTAAAATAAAAATTATTTTTATTTTAAATTTATTATTATTTTTTTATTTTTAAGATAAATATTTTTTTTATTTTAACTCTATTATTATCTATTTTAACTCTATTATTATCTATT